AGCTACAGCCATGTTACACTTAACCGTCATAGCAACCAACTGCTTAATACGTAATATATGCTTACTTGTTGTATGTTCTTTTTGTGTGTATTTTACTAGGAGTATTTAGATTGCGTTCCAGATTCAATGTAATCTAAATTCTTGTTCTGATTGCAGGAAAGAAATTTAATTAATTAAATTAAATGTAATTTTTGGCATATTTAAGCAATCATGTTTATTTCTTAGGCCCAGTACTCAGGCGAACAGAAACTGTCCCAATATTATTTTTATTACCATTATGCTCAGCCATGGTGTCTTTGGAAAGCAGTATTCAGGCGGACAAAAAAAAAAAAATACTAAATACCGTCCAAGATTCATATAATTTTATATATTTATTGAGCTATCAAGAACTCTCGATAGACCGCCGCGTTTTGTTTACATTGAATCAAATCTGAATATACGTTTGGATTATTCATAACAAAAATGTTGTGCTGCTTTTTATATATTTTGGACTTCAGTTTCGTGGCTCGAATACTAGGCCGTAATTAGAATTTTAAAACATTTTGCCAAGCAACAGGTAATGGAGCTGCCAGATCCGTTAAATTATGAAAACATATAAAGGAAATTAAAAATTGTTCTCCGTTCCATAAGTGTTTTTCAATGGCCAAAACAAAAATTTAATTTCTTAATTAAAGCTTGTAAAACTGTGCTACTAAATACCTGCAACAGGTGACTAGATTACCAGTTATTGTCCGTTATCCAGCACTGAACTTTCTTCCTCTTCTATTCCCTCTCTCTTCCATTTGCGGCTTTTGGTTTGTTTTCGACAAACACGTTGTTTATAGGAATTATAACATAGAGTAGCAATAATGGCCACTGAAGAGGCCATTCCTAGAATCCAATTGGGTGACTACATCGTCATCCAGCGGCAGAAGTATACGAAGCTACAAAAATTCGGCAGCCTGGACACCACGGCCACTTTGGGCAAAGAAACACTGGAGTTAAAGTCCCTTTTGGACCAACCCTATGGGTCCACGTTCAAGATGTGCGTCAAGGAGACAAAGCCAGGCAAAAGGGGTGCGCAGAGACAACACACCCTGGAGCTGTGTAGCGAAACAGAGCTGAGAAGCACCCGGGAGGTTCTGGGAATCTCCAGCAGTGGAGCGGATAACCGTGACATCTGCGATGATGGCGAAGCGCAGACCCTGAAACCAGAGGACATTGCCCAACTCCGAGAGGAGTGCAACGACTCTAGCAAAATCATCGAGAAGCTTGTGGAGAATTCAAAGACCTTCCACAACCGAACCGAGTACTCCCAGGAGAAGTACTTGCTAAAGAAGGAGAAAAAGTATTTCGAGTTCGTTCAGATCCGCCAGCCGACGATCCGGCTGATGCTAGACATCTTTTACCGACAGGACTCGGAGAAGGTTATGGGCATTCGCGTTGACACTTTATCGCAGATTATTTCATACTCGGGCGTCTGCGGTTTCGGCAGCTATCTGTTGTACGAGAGTGGCACCAATGGTCTACTGCCGGCGGCCATGCTCAACTCCATAGGCGCAGGCACGGAGGGCACCTTGGTGCACATGCATCCGGGAAATGTGCCCCAGAAGCAGGCGCTGTTAGCTTTGAAACTACCCCTGGAGCAGCAGCAGCGATGTGTTTCCGTTAATCTCTATTCCGTTTTGAGGGAGTTCTACCAAGGAGGAGAGGCGAAGGTAACAGATATCCCGGTAGTGGGCCCCAGTGAAGATGAGCCCCAGGAAACCCAGCCGGAGACGCCAACGGAGGAACAACCGGAGGCGATAGAACCGATCACAAAGAAACCCAAGCTAGATGAGTCGAAGAGCGGTAGAGAAGGTATTGCTTACAATAATAATCCAATCAAGATAAGTGAAAATATAATTTCTGTTGTTATAGGAGCAAAGGGACCTCCGCGGTGGCATTTGGAAAACAAGCGGGCCACAGCCCTAATGCACGCTGAGTTTGACAGCCTGGTGGTCGCTGCCAAGGAGCACCCGTCCAGCATTCTGCAGGCCCTGCTGCCGCTTGTTAAACCATCAAGTCCAGTGGTGGTATTCAGCACCTGCAAGGAGCTGCTGCAAGAGACGTTCATGGAGCTGAAAACCACAGGCAAGGTGACGGGTCTGCACTTGACCTCGAACTGGCTGCGCACCTACCAGATCCTGCCCAACCGCACCCATCCGGAAGTGAATATGAGCGGAAATAGTGGCTACCTTTTGACGGGCTATACGCTAAGATAGTTGTTGTGCGACTAACAAATACATGTAAGCCTTTGTTTTGATAATATCATGCAATGTTTAATACCAGGTAGGGATCATGCCAAGTGTGTTCGTGTTAAGTACAGCGCTCTGTGACATCGATCTAAACGGGTGGGACGTTCTTCAGGACGAAGAAATGGCCGCACTCGCAACGCTTGGGTCCCTCGTCCTTCTCAATCCACATCCACTTGGGCATGCGGTCGTCCAGGCACAGACAGCCCACGAGGCGGGCATCGAAGGCCGATGGCACGACTGTGGGATCGTTCTCTCTTCCTGATCCGCGCCTTATCATCTTGGTGAAGCCCCAAGGGTCCTCGCAGCCCTGCTTCGCCAGCAGCATTTCGCGCTTCTGAATACCGGTGACCAGTTGTTCGTCCTCAATTAGCGCTAATGAGGCATGAGAACTGAACTGGGAATCTTCGAAAGCTACAACCACTGCTTACCAGACTTTTGCACCTGAGTTGTGGATATGGGACGCTGTCCAGGAGCAGCCGCTGCTCCTCCCGGCCGCTTCAATCCTAGTCCCCGAAGCAAAGAGCTCAGCTTTCCGTCGCGTCGTGTTAAATTCGAGATAAGGCGCTTGGAGGCGGATTGAGCCTTAAGTAGACGCGAAATGTATGACGACATTTTTACAAGAGTTTATATAGGACTGTTCGATTATCGCAAGGGGAATTCTTACTTTGAGTGACTTGTGAGTGTGAACCAAAGCCTTTGAAAATGTTTGATTGCCTGTTAATACGCCTACTAGTTTATAAAAATTGAAAATAGGTCTTCGATTTTAAACGAAATTAACCTTCCTCCTTTTTTTAGCCACATCCTATAAATGCACTAATGCACATTTCGCAAATGAAATCCTTTGATTTTCACTCAAAATCTCTTTAGACTTTATTGTTCGCTTCTTGTGGACAATAAAGTATTTTCCTTGGGTGCGTTTGAAAATACGATGGCAGATCTGAAAATGGAAGCTGCGCCGCCCTTTCTCTCCTCACTGTTCACAGTTTCGTGTTTTTTTGGATTGATGTTTGTTTATTTGGACAGCTAAGTGGGTTGACTTTTAGCTTAGTAGTTGTGTTTTTGTTATTAATTGGTTTATTGAATTAATTAATAATAACTTTAAACAGCTGCCTTCTCCACCAGCTTGAACCAGTGGCCGCACTCACAACGCTTCTGGTTGCCCTTCTGCAGCCACATCCATTGCACGTAGGTCTGATCCTCTTCGCCTGAGTTGGAATAAAAAGTATGTTAAAAGGACTCTACTGGCATTTAGAGCTATAGTTTTGGTCAGGATAAAGGCACTCAGGGTTTTCTTCGCATTTGACTTGTTCATTGACTTGAAGTCAGTATTAATAATTCTGAGCAACAAATTATTCAAAACAATCCTTAATTTGAGATAAAAACATTCATAAAACGATTAAACAATGTAATAAATAAATACATTTACGCGGCAAAAATATATCTTACGATTAAAGTTTGATTCGCACAAAAACTTCATAGAAATGCATATAAGCAGAATAAAATCGTGCAAATTGTACGTTTGATAGAATACTCCGAATAGTGTCATTATCCTGACCGCAGCTAGTGATCTCGGAATACTTACAGATGCAGCCCACAATGCGGGCATCGAAGGCCGATGGAATAAGGTTGGGGTTCTCCTTGGTGCCGGCGCCCCGCTTGAAGACCTTCATGTCGAAGGGATTATCGTTGCCGGCGGCTTTGAGCAGCAGCTCACGCTTCTCGATACCAGTGGCGTGCTCCAAAGGATCGTTCATCACTGCAATGCGGAGAAGTGGGAAACGCAATTAGGAATTAGCTCATAAATTGATAAGCGAGTGGGCCACTGGTTACATAAACAGCAGACGCCCCGAATCCAGAGGCTCCGTCACAAGTAGAGGTCTTCGGCGGGGTAATCCCGGCCAGCTTCAGTCGATGTGCTAACTCCGCACTGGGTTGTCACCGCTCCCCCTCTCCGTCCACAAGTCGCACATTTCCCAGCGCATAGTTATTACATAACCTCGCACTCTTCATAGACACTTTTCTGTGGGTCCAAATCTGCAGCTTTCCAGGAGAGTGGAGCACAGTGCCCTGGTGTTTTACCACCTACACTCCAATATTATGCAATTCCAGGCAACAACCTCCGCCAAATCGGCGAACGTGACCGAAAAGCAGCTGGCCGTGGGATTTCCTTCTCGGTTTTCACCACTTACTTTTGCAGAAGCGCACGGGCGTGTAGGTTACATTCTGGCGTGCGGCGGCACGGAGCGCCATGCGTCCACAGATCGATGCCATTGTTCGTTTTGCGAAAATTTCGGTCGGTCTTAAGTGGTGAACACCAAAAATTCTTTCGTAATTTTTCACACAGCTAAGGACCAGTGTGACCGCGGAAAAGTAAGAAAAAAATACCGCAGGCTCTAGAAAATATGATATTAAACGCTTAAATGCTTGTTTAAACCAATCAAAATAATCATGTTACATGGCAATACATATAATTAACAAAATTAATGTATATAAAAAAAACTCTGTAGCAGTAGGGTTCTTAAGATAATAAGCACCGTTTATTTTAATTATCGACCAATATATTAAAACTTTAAAAATATTTTGCAGCGGTCACTCTGCAGTGTGCAACAATTACGCGATCTTAAGTGCTTAAAAACACCGGCGGAACACTGTTATCGGATCCACGAGAGGGCGCCACCGCGTTGCCGGGCAACCAAATGTAAAAACAAAAAATATATTAAGTTTATTGAAACTGCATGAAAAATGTCCAGCAAGCCGGTAATTTGCTTTGATATATCAAAAAATGAACGCTTTCAAATATCGGACAACTACAAAATGATGCACCGCAAGCTGAAGGTCAATTGGAATGTGGAACAGTCAGTATCCAAAAAATTATACATTATTATAAGGGTGCCTTACAATTAAAAATAAGAAAACAAAAGTTTTTCATCAATGTAATCAATCAGCACTTACTAATTTCTACAAAATATGTATTCTTTTATAGATTTTTCTGAGTCTCAAGTACGTTTTCCTCACAATAAAACTTTTTTTTAAATGTAGTCCAGGGATACACCAAAATACTCGAATAAACTAACATTATATTAAATCTAAATATATTTAATAATACACAGAAATGATGCGGAACTCAGAAAGGAGCGTCTTGCTCGGGTAAAGGTTTTCGTTCTCGCCGGACCACAGGATAAATTCACGGAGGACGAATTCGAAGTACTGAAGCACTACGTGGAGGTGCAAGGAGGAAGTCTGGTGGTGCTCCTAGGTGAAGGTGGGGAGCCGGAGTTCAATACCAACGTAAACTTCTTCCTGGAGCAGTACGGGATCTACATCAACGGCGACAATGTGGTGCGACCGCACTACTACAAGAATTTCCATCCCAAGGAATGTATCGTGGGTGGCGGCGTTGTTTGCGAATCCATGTGGCGACACCTTCTCAAGCTGGACATCGAGAAGGTGGACTACGATTTCAGTGACGAGAAGTACAAGATACACTTTCAATACCCCTATGGGGCCACGCTGAATGTATCTGAGCCTGCGAATGTCCTGCTCACCACGGGTCCAGTAGTGTACCCCTTCAATCGTCCCCTAGCCGGCTACTTTACAAACGGGAAAGGTGGTAAAATCCTGGCGGTGGGATCTGGATACATTTGGCATGACAAGTATCTGCAGGACAAGACCAACGATGCCATGTTTGAGTACTTGATAAAGCTGCTTGGAGGAGATGAGATTACCTACAGTCACTTGGACTTCAATGATGTGGAGGTAGATACATTACCAATAGAAAGTAAGCGCTGAGACTTCTTAAATTATGTTCCACAGTTGAGCGACAACAAGCACTTCACCGATATTGGGTTCCTAGCCGATATGCCCAAGGCTTGCCTGATCGACTCGATTGGAACCGATATACCCACGGACTTCAAGCAGATGTTCGACATGAGGCTCTGCAGGCTGAGCAACCGCCTGCTCAAGGACGTCATGGATACCTACGAGCAACTGCACGTCAAGTACGAGCCGCTGAAGATCATCAAGCCGCAGTTCGAGATTCCGCTGCCCAACGTCCAGTTGGCCACCTTTCCGCCCATCTTTAGCGAGCCCTCGGCTCCACCGCTGGAGCTGTACGATCTCGACGAGACATTCAGCGGAGCTCGTTCCCAGCTGGCGCACATGACCGGCCAGGTGCTCCAGGCGCTGCAGTCCAAGGAGCCGCAGAGGAGGGCTCTAAACCAGCGGGAGCTGGAGAACTACATAAAGGAGTGCGCCAGGATTACGGCCATTGTGGACGACCGCCAGGATATGGCCGCCCGCGAGATACTCAACATCGTGGCACGGCAAATCGTCAGCTACCGACCTTATGCGGAGGATTAGAACGCTCCGATTACTACATTCCTTGCAACTTTTTCGGGCCAATCAGCAAAACTCGAATTATGTGAATATATATCATTTAAAATTGAAAACCTAGTCTGTTTTATGTAAACATGTTGGCGACTCGAATTCAAACATGGCCGGCAAGACAGCGAAAGAACGCTCCTCCGTTCTGCGCAGGGCTCCCGAATTGAATTACACCGAAGGCAATTTTTGGAGTGCGGGAAACACAAGACCTGTGGGAAGTAAAGCTATATAGCTGCACTTATGCGAGGCTCTGCCATCGTTTATTACGAAAATTGGTTACTTAACACAATTAATTATTTGTATTAATATTTCCCCGTACGCCAAGGGGAACCTCCTCACCACGCAGATCTCCCAAAGGAATTTCCGAGGAGCAGTTTGCTTTTAGGTGTCAACAATTTGTTTCCGCTTTTCCGGAGGGGCGACACCTCCCTCCCTGCTAATTGGGATGAGATGCGGGTGCGGGAGGATCCAGTGTGTGAGAAACCACTAGTTAATGCTTGTCACAACAAATAGTGTCATCAATCTGGGCTCCCAGGGGGATGTAATTCCAGGGAGTGGAGTCCTTTAAAAAATACCTATGCGCAACTGGCGGTTGTAAATTTTTTAGATTTTCTTTTAGAGATAAAATGTTTCCCTGGAGTATGTGGATACTTAGGCTAAGTTTGGGAATAGGAGTTATACCCGAAGACAGTTGTTGACATCAACAAAATAAAAGTTTATGTGAAGGGGCTTCTATTTCAATTCATTTCCATGGATTGTACATAATTTCAAGTAGATTTTACATAACGCAGTAAACTAACAAGTTGCAGAAACTCAAAGCCAGAACTGTAAAAAAAAGCATATGGTTTTCTCCTACAAATTAATCTATATTATGGTTTATTTTCCAAATGTTGCTACTTTGAAGCCATTCCACCCCAAATCCGCCTTCGAGCGGCCCAGAGTGGTGGTGGTGACCCCGACCGCCGGACAACGGCTGCTCAATCAATCAATATTGAAGGTTCCCACACCGCAGGCGGGGCACTGGAACTCCATGGGTTCCCCGATCCCTCGCCTGTGTGTTGGCCATTTTGTTTGCTATTTCTGTTTGGCTTTTTCTTGGGCTGACCGCTAAATATAACGTTGGACGGCTAAGCCGCGGAGGTGAGGAGGCGCGGTCGGGGGTGCAATAATCTGTGAGGGGAAAAGAGGTTGGGATGAAATCGGATACCGGCCGAGTAGGAAGTTACCTTGAGTGCATTTCAATATATCTGTATCGACAGTGACAATGCCCGCCCAAGTCCAAGTTGCAGTTCATTCATGGTTTCATCGGTTCGTTTTTTTTTCTTCTCTTTCGTGTTTAGTGCAAACAGGTTCACAGGCTCACGGCACAGAAGCCGCACAAGTTTTTCCCGGCTGCTCATCCTCATCCACGTCCTCATCCACCTTATACTTTTCCTCAGCCATCTGGCCAGCGAGGGCAGTTCCATTAAACGAAGGGAAAATGATTTTATTTCGATTTTGTTTGCCGAACGAATCCAGCTGTATTTGCCGCACTTCCGTTCTCCCAATGGCAAGCGCAAATATTCGAAAAAGTCCTGACTTCTCAAGTGCTGCGTCTGTTTTCCCATCCGCATCCCTTTTCCCAGCTGCGATTTTCTCGCACCCAAATCCCAAATCGGTCTTTATAAATCAGTTACCTTCCCGCACTGTCCGGCATTTGTCACCTGTATGAAGCTCGCTTCCCCCGGGTCGCGGGGAAATTCCGGGAAAACCCTCATGGAGCATGCCGTGATCGTGATGCGGGTCGTGGCGACATCGCTTTAATTAAATTACAGCCACCAAAACGTGCGACACTATAATAATTTTTATTCATTGTCAAAAATGGGCAATCATAAAAAACAACACGTCTGCATCGCAGCTGCCAGAGGTGTAGTTCTGTGTTAGTGCCTGGTGGGGCTAATCCCACGGATTGAAGACAGCTCCCCCTGTCCAGACACAGCCACCAACATAAACAGACACTCGCTCACACAAGCCGAATGTAACAATCAATTAACAGGCCAGATAGGCTCGGATCGGAGATTCCAGTTAACCCTTGGGCAGCCTCACTCTTTGTCCCCTTTCAAGTGGTTTCTACAGCCAGCTATGGGTCTCTGGATCATGCGGATTTGAGTGTATAAAATAACATGTAATCTATTTTCAATCCATGCAGTTTCTTTGGCTGCATACGAGAGGTTATATTCTATGACTTCTTGTCTGTTTTTTCAGCATATTAGCGGAATGAGTGACTGGGGCGATGGGAACCCTCTTAGCCGCGCGAGGGTTAAAGCGCTCCGGCTGTTGGACCGTTGACCCAAGATTGGCTTGGCACGCTTCTGCGTCCGCTGGACTCGCTGTCGTTGTCTTTGTCTTGTCGCCGTGGATGTCGCCCCACTGGTGTTGTTGTCGGCGGGGGCCATGTGGTTGTTGTGGCCGTCGCTGTGGGGCCCAATGTCAATGTCTGCATGGCCATCAACGGAATAGAAAGCTTGTCTTTTATGCTGCGGCATTGTTATTAATCTATCATTAGGTCGCGTCGTACAACAAGCTCTAATGATGCGTGTAAATGCTAAACAAATCACACACTCCGCCCAGAAATACCAATCCAAGTGGAGTATCTCGCAGCGAAACGGGGCAAATTCGAGTGTGCTCGAAGCGCGTGTACAATTTAAAATGAAATAAAATCAGACTGCGCCGCTTTCGAAATTTTATGAGCTTGTTGTGCTTATTAGTCGCCTCACGAGGAACGGCGACAGGCCACAACATCACCAGCATCACCAACAACGCCAATGGGAACAACCAGGACGGAAACAACAACAGGCGCAACACGCATTTCCACGGCTAATTTTTCACGCGCACTCCGACTGCAGCTCCATCCCTGCTCAATCCCTGCTCCAGCCCAGCTCCATCCAGCTCCAACGCCAGCTCCATTCCCGTTGCCCAAGTCGGCAACCGACAGCGACAGCTCCTGACCAGGCTATCACTTGCCGCAGTTGCAGCAAGGGTATCATTGCTATTCCGAGGGCTTTGTGCTGCACTGGTCCTGTTTTGAATGGGCGTTAGTTATACGGCATTCAATGATGAAAATGGCGTTTCCCAATGGAAAACTAATTCAACGGGCATTTAATGAATGGCCAAGGCATGGAATCGAAAATACATTGGACAGCTTCATAGCAGTTTCAGTTTTCGAGCTTTGGTCAGTAAAGCCGCGAATTATTAACCAGTTTCACTGTTTTTCATATTGGACATAGCTACTAATTGTAATCATCCTAACTTTTTCAGGGCGTGTAGTTCATCCAGCATTCGACGATCTTCAACGAGCTGCTGTAGGTTTCTGGTGCTTTATTTTTATACTTTTTGGCACGCCAGACACGCACGAGAAATTCCAAGAGATAAGGATCGTGTACGACAAGGTGTATTATGGACCCCCAATCCAGAGTCCCCCTCCAATGTGGCCCCCCCCACCGTTCGGCAGCCAAATGCCCAATGTACCCCAGTCGGAGTTGGGCCGAGTGCCATACTGTTGACTCTGTTAAATTGCCAATATTTATGGTCTTGCCCGCACGGGCTGACTTGTTAAATGGGTGTTCCTTCCAGCAGCCTTTCGGTGGATGCCATGCCCAGCTCCGTGGCTGCGTGGCTCCGTGGAGGAGCGGACCCCAGTTCGACAGTTGGTAGCTGCAAAACGTTTAAGGACAAAACGTGTTGGCCCGATAAGGCAGCTGGCCAAGACGATGGGCCCTGGCCATCAGTTTGACGCATGCCCGTCAACGTTTTATGGCCCAGTTCGCCATTTTGAAGGTGTTAAGATTCGGTTTCTATGTGCAGCTAAGCAGAAATGCGCAATGTCGTCGCTGAAGCTATAAAAATGTCAAAACATGCAACAAATAATGGCAGAATTATAAAGAAATCTAGCGGGAGCAGAAATCATGCAAAATAAAAGCGCGTCATTCAGCTCGTCAAGTCGTCTGCGGCTTGTTCTCTATAAAAGTGCTGGGGTAGCTTGCTTTCTTGAAATCGGATAACACGAGTGCATACTGTACCTTTGGGTAGGTTTGTTAGGAGCCCCTCGTTGTTCTTAGGCTACTTGAAAGCACCAGCACCAGATTTGCATACAAACTACACACAAACTGTTCATGCTGGTAAGAAATATATTATCTATTTATTACTTGGTTGCCACGCTTGTAAGTTATTGCTAACTCAGTAAATAAAGTTAATAATATACATTTAAACTTTATGAGATTTCAGGGCATTAATAGTTCGTGCAGAACGATATCTTTCCCCATCACCGCCCTTATCTCACTGGATGTGTAATTGACAAAAAAGTTCCCCCGGCGTGTTTCCAGGTTGATACGGCGCTGATCTTGCGGTTTTGCTGGTTTTATATCGCATTAAAGGCATTTTCGTGGCAGTTTTGCTTATTTTTCGGCGAGGAGCCGCACGCGAATCTGCCATGATGCCATAATGCCAAGATGCCATGATGCTGACATTTCGAAATCACCCGAATCCCTTCTGAAACCATAGATGTGTGAGAGAGGAAAGCCTGGGCTTATCGCGATCCGCATGATCGTCACCTTAAATGCTATAAGTCACACCTAGCCATTTGTCACATTTCCAGCCGCCCACGGGGCAAAGCAATGGGCATGGGGCATGGGGAATGGGGCATCGGAGATCGAGACTTGTTCCATAAATCAAATCGGTGCACGTTACATTTGAGGCGCATAAAAATGCAAATTGTATGCATAAAGTATAATTTTTATAACTTAATTAACTGAGCTTTGCGGGGAAGTGGGATCGGGCACCTGCTGTGTTTCTCGCTTTTTTCTCATTAGGCTGGCGCCAAGTTGGAGATTGATTTTGGCCGCATTTACATGACAAAGCTGCTGGGGAGGCTGGGTTGTCTCGGCCCGATTTGGTTGTGATAAGCTCATCAAGGCCCCACTGGTAGCTGCAGCTCCTCCGGAATCAGCCACGACCACGACTCCACCTCGTACCCGATTCTCGGAAGAGCCGCAGA